TTCTTTTGTAAATTTCTGCCCCTTCCTCTCTCCACAGACTGCACCTTTGGCTGCAGCAGACTGGTACATCTGAAGGCACCTGGTGAGCAAGGGGTCACACTGCCCTAACAGATTCCCATCGAGACCCCCAGTACAGGATCCACACATAAACCTAGGCAGGTAGAAAGTTCCTTCATTTAATTTACTTTTTTACTGTCCCTCATTCTTTTGTAAATTTCTGCCCCTTCCTCACTCCACAGACTGCACCTTTAGGTGCAGCACCCTGGTACATCTTAAGGCACTTGGCGATCAAGTGGGCACACTTCTCCCGCTGATTCCCATCCTGACCCCTAGTCCAGGATCTACCAGACTCCTAGACATGTAGAAAGTTCCTCTGTTTTATTTCTTCTTTACTGTCCCCCATTCTTATGTAAATTTCTGCCCCTTCCTCTCTCCATAGACTATGCCTTTGGCTGCAGCAGCCTGGCATATCTTAAGCCACTTGGTGAGTAAGGGGTCACACTGCCCTCACTGATTCCTATCCAGACCCCCACTCCATGATCCACCCTGACACCTAGGCAGGTAGAAACATCCTCCAATTTTTTTGTGTGTTCTTCTTTACTGTTCCCCATCCTTTTGTAAATTTCTGCCCCTTATTCTACCCACAGACTGTCTTTGGCAGCAGCAGCCTAGTACATCTCAAGGCACCTGGTGAGCAAGGGCTCACACTACCCCCACTGATTCCCATCCAGAAGCCCTGTCCAAGAGTCACTCAGACCCCTATGCAGGTAGAAAGTACCTCCAGTTTTTTTTTCTTCTTAATTGTCCCTCATTCTTTTGTAAATTCTTTCTATTCCAACTCTCCATAGAATGTGCCTTTGGCTGCAGCAGCCTGGTACATCTGAAGGCACCTTGTGAACAGGAGGGCACAGTGCCCCCACTGATTCTCATCTAGACCTCCAGTCCAGGATCCACACAGACCCCTACGCAGGTAAAAATTTCTCCATTTTTTTGTCCTCCTTCTTTACTGTGCCCCATTATTTTGTAAATTGCTGCCCCTTCTCTCTCCACTGACTGGGCCTTTGACTGCAGTAGCCATCAGCAGCCTGGTACATCTGAAGGCTGCTGGCAAGCAAAGGGGCACACTGCCCCTATGGATTCCCAACTTGATACCCCAGTCCAGGATCCACCCAGACCCCAAGTTCTTCCATTTTTTTTCCTCTTTACTCTCCCCCATTCTTTTGTAAATTTCTGCCCCTTCCTCTCTCCACAGACTGTGCCTTTGGCTGCAGCAGACTGGTACATCTGAAGGCACTTGGCGATCAAGTGGGCACAATTCCCCCACTGATTCCTATCCATACCCCCAGACCAGGATCTACCCAGACTCCTAATCAGGTAGAAAGTTTCTCTGTTTTTTTTTTCTTCTTCTTTACTGTTCCCCATTCTTTTGTAAATTTCTGCCCCTTCCTCTTTCCATAGACTATGCCTTTGGCTGTAGCAGCCTGGCACATATTAAGGCACCTGGTGAGCAAGGGGGCACACTGCCCTCACTGAATCCCTTGCAGACCCCCAGTCTAGGATCCAACCTGACATCTAGGCAGGTAGAAAGATCCTCCAATTTTTTTTCTTCTTAGTTACTGTCCCTCATTCTGTTGTAAATTTCTGCCCCTTCCTCTCTCCACAGACTGCGCCTTTGGCTGCAGCAGCCTGGTACATCTGAAAGCATCTGGCGAGCAACTTCTTAGTTACTGTCCCTCATTCTGTTGTAAATTTCTGCCCCTTCCTCTCTCCACAGACTGCGCCTTTGGCTGCAGCAGCCTGGTACATCTGAAAGCATCTGGCGAGCAAGGGGTCACACTGCTCCTACTGATTCCCATCCAGACCTTCAGTCCAGGATCCACCCTGACACCTAGGCAGGTAGAAAGTTCTTCCATTTTTTTCTTCTTCTTTACTGTACCCCATTCTTTTGTAAATTTCTGCCCCTTCCTCTCTCCATAGACTACGCCTTTGTCTGCAGCAGCCTGGTAAATCTGAAGGCACCTGGCATGCAAGGGGGAACACTGCCCCCACTGATTCCCATCCAGAACCCCTGCTCGGGATTCACAGAGACCCCTAGGCAGGTAGAAAGATCCTCCAATTTTTTTTTTCTTCTTAACTGTCCATCATTCTTTTGTAAATTCCTTCTTTTCCATCTCTCCACAGAATGTGCCTTTGGCTGTACTAGCCAGCAGCAGCCTGGTACATCTGAAGGCTCCTGGTGAGCAAGGGGGCACACTGCCCCCACAGGGTCCCATCCAGATCCCCCAGTCCAGGATCCAACCAGGCCCCAAGGCAGATAGAAAGTTCATCCATTTTTTTTTTCTCTTCTTCTCTAGCCCCCATTCTTTTGTAAATTCCTTCCTCTCTGTCTCTCCACAGACTGTGCCTTTGGCTGCAGCAGACTAGTACATCTGAAGGCACTTGGTTTGCAAGGGGTCACATTGAACCCACTGATTCCTGTCCAGAACCCCAGTTCATGATCCACCCAGACCCCTATGCAGGTAAAAATTTCCTCCATTTTTTTTCTTGTTCTTTACTGTCCCCCATTCTTTTGTAAATTTCTGCCCCTTCCTTTCTCTACTGAATGCACCTTTGGATTCAGTAGCCAGCAGCAGCCTGGTACACCTTAAGGCACCTGGTGAGCAAGGTAGCACCCTGCCCCCACTGATTCCCATCCAGACCCCCAGTCTAGGATCCACTCTGACCCCTAGAGTGGTAGAAAGTTCCTCCATTTTTTTCTTCTTCATTCCTGTCCCCCATTCTTTTGTAAATTTTTGTCCCATCTTCTCTCCACAGACTGTGCCTTTGGCTGCAGCAGCATGGTACCTCTGAAGGCACTTATCAAGCAAGGGGGTGCACTGCCTGCACTTAATCCCATCCAGATCCCCAGGTCCAGGATCCATCCAGACCCTATGCAGGTAGAAAGTTTGTCCATTTTTTTTGCTCTTCCTTATTGTCCTTCACTTTTTTATAAATTCCTTCATCTCCATCTCTCCACAGTCTGTGCCTTTGCCTGCAGCATCCTGGTACATCTGAAGGCACCTGATGAGCAAGGGGACACACTGCCCCCACTGATTCCCATCCAGACCCCCCAGTTCAGGATCCACCCGGACCCATAGGCAGGTAGAAAGTTCCTACATATTTTTTTCTCTTCTTAACTACCCCCCATTTTTTTGTACATTCTTTCCTCTCCATCTCTCCACAGAATGTGTCTTTGGCTGTTGCAGCCTGGTACATCTCAAGGCACCTGATGAGCAAGGGTGCACATTGCCCCCAGTGATTCCCAACCCATCCCCCCAGTCAAGGATCCAGGGAAACCACCAGGCAGCAGTATGCAGGTAGAAAGTTTGTCCATTTTTTTTTTTGTTCTTCCTTATTGTTCCTCATTTTTTTTGTAAATTCCTTCATCTCTGTCTCTCCACAGTCTGTGCCTTTGCTTGCAGCAGTATGGTACATCTGAAGGCACCTGGTGAGCAAGGGGGCACACTGCCCACACAGATTCCCATCCCGACCCCCAGTCCAGTATCCATACAGAAATCAAGGTAGGTAGAAAGTTCCTACATTTTTTTTTCTTCTTTTTTACTGTCCCTTATTCTTTTTTAAATTTCTACCCCTTTCTCTCTCCACAGACTACACCTTTGTCTACAGCAGCCTGGTACATCTTAAGGCACTTGGCGAGCAAGTGGGCACACTGCCCCACTGATTCCCACCAAGACCCCCTTCCAGGATCTACCTAGACTCCCAGGCAGGTAGAAAGTTCCTCCATTTTATTTCCCATCCTCTTTACTGTCCCCCTTTCTTTTGTAAATTTCTGCACTTTCCTCTCTCCACAGACTGAACCTTTGGCAGCAGCAGCCTGGTACATCTGAAGGCACCTGGTGAGCAAGGGGGCACATTGCCCCCACTGATTCTCATCCAGACCCCCAGTCCAGGTAGAATATGGAGTTAGCATATGTAGGCTAAACTAGTTTAACTTAAACACCCTTTGCTAGGACTGCAGGCCCAGTTAGCTTATGTTAGGCCTAGTTAGCTTATTCATCCTATTTACTGGCCAAGACAGAAATTCAAGGATGGGGCACAGGGGTTTGCTAATTAACAGGAATTCATTAACAGAGGAAGGGCAGGTCTGGCTGGTGGCGACAGGATGAACAAACCTGAAGGCACCAGGGAAGATTACCTAAATTTCTGAGAGTTCTTTTTATCTAAATTCAGGCGGGCAATGACAGATAGTTCCTAACTACAAATGGTTCCTACTTTGTGTGTTGTAAACTATAAAAACCTACCTGCTAATAAAATATCCTGTATTGCCTCCTGAGCTATAAAAAGCCCCTCATTCCTAGGTTTGGGGTCCTTGTTATAACCCATTGCATCAGGCATTAACCTGGACCCCAGCTAGCTGAAAAAATAAATACCTCTTATGCAGTTGCATTGTCGTTGACTCTCTTCGTCACCACCAAATAAATCGACAGAAATTCAAGGATGGGGCACAGGGGTTTGCTAATTAACAGGAATTCATTAACAGAGGAAGGGCAGGTCTGGCTGGTGGCGACAGGATGAACAAACCTGAAGGCACCAGGGAAGATTACCTAAATTTCTGAGAGTTCTTTTTATCTAAATTCAGGCGGGCAATGACAGATAGTTCCTAACTACAAATGGTTCCTACTTTGTGTGTTGTAAACTATAAAAACCTACCTGCTAATAAAATATCCTGTATTGCCTCCTGAGCTATAAAAAGCCCCTCATTCCTAGGTTTGGGGTCCTTGTTATAACCCATTGCATCAGGCATTAACCTGGACCCCAGCTAGCTGAAAAAATAAATACCTCTTATGCAGTTGCATTGTCGTTGACTCTCTTCGTCACCACCAAATAAATCTATCTTTGGCAGGTAGAAAGTTCCTCCATTTTTTCAACTTCTTTACTGTCCCTCATTCTTCTGTAAATTCGTTCCTCTCCATTTCTCCACAGAATGTGCCTTTGGCTGCAGCAGCCTGGTACATCTGGAAGCACCTGGCAAGCAAGGGGGCACACTGCACCCACTGATTTCCATCCAGAACCCTCAGTCCAGTATCCACCTTGACCCCTATGCAGGTAGAAATTTTCTCCATTTTTCATCCTCCTTCTTTACTGTCCCCCATTCTCTTGTAAATGTCTGACCCTTATTTTCTCCACAGACTGCACTTTTGGCTGCAGAAGCCAGCAGCAGCCTGGTATATCAGAAAGGCACTTGGCAAGCAAGGGGGCACACTACCCCACCGATTCCCATCCAGACCCCCAGTCCAGTATCCACCCAGACCAATTGGCAGGTAGAAAGTTCCCCTTTTTTTTCTTCTTCTTTACCGTCCCCCATTCTTTTGTAAATTTCTGTCCCTTCCTCTCACCACAGACTGCGCCTTTGGCTGCAGCAGCCTGGTATATCTGAATGCACTTGGCGAGCAAGTGGGCACACTGCCCCCACTGATATCCATCCAGACCCCCAGTTCAGGATCTACCCAGACCCCTAGGGCTTCTTCTTTACTGTGTCCCGTTCTTTTGTAAATGTATACCCCTTCCTCTCTCCTGATTTTGAATTATACCCCCCTCAGGATATTTAACCAATGGAAACAGCCTGGCCTGAAGAAAAATTAAACTTATTAGAGTCTGTAGTAGTATCAGTCTTTAAATCGTCTAATGAAATTTACCACACAGTTCAAGTAACTGTTGATAATGAAGGTAAACATATTGTGAGCCTGATTAAGGAATATGATGATGCATGTAGAGGTTTATTTTGGGTGTCTGGGATGTTTGATGCCCTCTGTTTCTATTTACAGCACTGTTGGATGCATAGTCTTTACAGTTTTTATAATTATTGTTTCTGCATTTGTGTTATATATCACATGTAAATGCTATGCCAGATACAGCAAAAGGAAGAACAAAAAATCACAAACCCGGATTATGGTAGCATGTAACATACGTCTTCTTCAAGGTGTCTTTCACCCTGAAAGAAGTTGAAAAAATGGAGGAACTTTCTACCTGCCAAAGATAGATTTATTTGGTGGTGACGAAGAGAGTCAACGACAATGCAACTGCATAAGAGGTATTTATTTTTTCAGCTAGCTGGGGTCCAGGTTAATGCCTGATGCAATGGGTTATAACAAGGACCCCAAACCTAGGAATGAGGGGCTTTTTATAGCTCAGGAGGCAATACAGGATATTTTATTAGCAGGTAGGTTTTTATAGTTTACAACACACAAAGTAGGAACCATTTGTAGTTAGGAACTATCTGTCATTGCCCACCTGAATTTAGATAAAAAGAACTCTCAGAAATTTAGGTAATCTTCCCTGGTGCCTTCAGGTTTGTTCATCCTGTCGCCACCAGCCAGACCTGCCCTTCCTCTGTTAATGAATTCCTGTTAATTAGCGAACCCTTGTGCCCCATCTTTGAATTTCTGTCTTGGCCAGTAAATAGGATGAATAAGCTAACTCAGCCTAACATAAGCTAATTTGGCCTGCAGTCCTAGCAAAGGGTGTTTAAGCTAAACTAATTTAGCCTACATATGCTAACTATGCTAATTGGTTTATACTAACTCAGCCTTACATATGCTAATTCGGCCTATCACCAGAAGGTAATTAGCTATGTAGGAAAAGTCTGTCAGACATGTATGTCCTTATACTGGGACCTGATTTCTTGGATAGGGCTTCCTAGCACCTGGGATCTGACTCCTAGGATAAGCTTCCTAGTACCATGGGACCTGACTTCTAAGATAAGCCTCCTAGCACCATGGGACCTGACTCCTAGGAATGAGCTTTCCTAGCATCGTGGGACCCGACTCCTTGGAATGAATCTTCCCAGCACTATGGGATTTGACTCCTCAACATAAGCACTCTTAGTGCCATGGAACCCTTTGTTTTTGTGGCCTAACCATGCATTCAGAGGAATAATTTTTGGCCATCAGAGGGGATTGCGGACCAAAGGTCTGACTACTTCTATTTTCCAATATCTTTTCAAAAGGGACTGGGGAAGTAATGCCCACAAACATTAACAGACCATTTATTTTCTATTAACAGGATTCTTGCTAAATCCTCTCCCTGGATTAGTATCTTTGAGATGTATATTTCAACCATTTACAGTATATTCTTTTGCTTATCTCTTCCCAAGACACAGAACTTCCCTTTCCTTGAGATGTATATTAAGCCTTTCTTTAACTTTCTTTCCAAAACACAGATTTTCCCTTCCAACCACCAACCTAAGAATTGTGGAACACACCTAAAGCCTACAAGCCCCCACTTCTACATGTCCCACCTTTTTGGGCCATGGAAAATCTCTTCACTAAATGTTGTCTATCAATCTCAAAAACAAATGAAAGGAACCCCTGTACATGATCACCCCAAGAAAGGCATATATGTCTCTTCTCCAGGCCTCGGTCACTCATATTTGGCTTGGAAATAAACCACATTGAGTATTAATGATTAATTTTTACAGTTGGTTATTTTTCCATTAAAAGGAGGCAGAGATAGCTCTAACTACTAGAAATGAATCTGGAATAAGAAGCCTCAGCAGACAATCTTCATTTTTGCTCAAGGAAATCAATTTCACATCTGAAGTTCTATATCCCTCTCATGATCAGCCTGGCCTGAGTTTGCGCCTTTCCTAAATGGAATGTGAAAAGGCACCAATTAACACAATAAAGAAGAAGATTAAGAGCCCAGAGAATACATTTAAAAACATTTAAAAATTTAATATTCGCAGAGAGACAAAGTGAGAGACTCAGAAAGAAAAAATGGAGAGAAGTAGGCAGAGGTAGCCTTACTCAGTAGAAATGAATCTGGTGTAATAAATCTCAGCAGAAAATCTTTATTTTTGTCAAGGAAATAAAATTTCACAGCTGAACTTAAGTATCCATCTGAGGATTGTCCAGCCTGGGTTTGTGCCATTCATAAAAAGAATGTGCAAAGGTACATTTAACACAATAAAATAGGGGCTTGAGAGCTGAGAGATTCCATTACTTTAAAAAAGTTAAAAGTTGGGACCAGCATTTGGCATAATGGCTATGTTGCTGGACTCCCATGTAGTCGACCATGGTTCAAGTCCTGGGCCTGGTGACTTAAGCTCACAGCAGGCTCATGTGCATGTGTGCTCAAGATCCCGAGAAGGAGAATAAAGGAGAAGGGATTGCAGCATGGCCATCCCCCCGGGGTGGTTATTTCTCATTTTTTTGTCTCTCTGTCTCTCTCTTTCTGTTGAGTTCGTGTACCCTATAGCAAAAAACTAAAAAAAATTAAAAGTCAAAAATGTGACACAACGAGACTGAGACAGACAGACAGACAGAAATAAAAAGAAGGTCCTATAAACTAGAATTGAATCTGGAGTAAGAAATCTTATCAGATAATATTTGTTTAAGGTCAAGGAAATCAAATTTCACACCTGAAGTTCAATAACCATCCCAGAATGGGCCTGGCCTGGTTTTGTGCCTTTCCTAAATGGAATGCAGAATGGTAGCAATTAACACAATAAAGCAGGGACTTGAGAGCCCAGGGAATACTTTTCCTTAAAACAATTAATAAAAAATTAAAAGTCACAGAGGGACACAGTGAGACACAGGCAGATAGAGAGAAATGGAGAGAAGAAGGCAGAGGTAATTGTAAATTCTGGGGGAAGGGATAAGAAACATGGCAGAAACATTCCCTCCCACAGAACTTTACTGTTTTCTGCATCTGGCCTGCCATCACCAACAGACTTTCCTGCCCTTCAGCATTTGGTGCACCCGCCAAGGTTCATTGGCCAGACAAGGACGTGTGGTAACCACCTACTGAACAATGGCCCTTTAAGAACGAGCAGCACTGGGACCAGCAGTTAGCATAATGGGTATGTCGCTGGACTCCCATGTAGTTGACTGTGGTTCGCATCCTCGACCCAGTGGCTTAAAACTCACACCGGGCATGTGTGTTTATGTGCCCAAGATTCCAAGAGGAGAATGGAGGAGAAGGGACTGCGGCATGACCATCCCCTCTTGGGGTGATTTTCCGCTTTCTGTCTCTCTGTCTGTCTGGTGAGCGCATGTGCCCTATAGCAAAAACCACTTAAAAAAAAAAAAGAAGAAGAAGAAGAAGAACGAGTAGCACCTACCCTGGGCGTGTCTCCCTCGGCCTCTGACCAGGCTGAGTCCGAGGCCGACGGACCTAACCAAAGAGCACAGAATAAATTATTCTGGTTTTATTAAATCTCAAAGTATGACTCTGGTATTTTCATCCTTGTCTCCCCTCACTTCGCTGCTGCTCCCAAATCAAACCTAATAGTAATCGTAACCACTAGAAATGGATCTGGAGTAAGAAGTCTCAGCAGAAAATCTTATGGTCAAGGAAATAAAATTTGACAGCTGAAGTTTAGTATTCATCTCAGGATGGGCCTGACCTG